ACAAACACCCCAATGTATATTTTAATATTTCATTTCTATATTAGTGACACAGAAGAAACACATGCATTATAATTCTCTCAGTTGTGACATTAAAAGGGCTAATTTGAGACTTTTGTGTTTGCATATCAAAACACAGTATTTACTTCAAAAAATGTCACTATTTTCTGAGTGTGTTTACTAATGCTAACTAGTTACTGGCTATGCAATTTTATGGGTTTTTGTTTAAAAACTTATACCACTGTTGAGTTACACCATCTTAAAAATTACAAAGTTACATAACTTTCCAATTGAACCAGCTTTCCATCACAATTGCAAACAATAAACTATGCGAATAATATATCTGCAGTTTAACGTGCAATTTTTAAAAAAAACTTTATTATAAATAACACTCATAATAGTATAGTATACCTGTGTTTTGGTAAATTAAGAAAATTGAAATTTGTAAAGTTTGTGGTGACATGATACATGATACTCTTAATTGGGTCCAAATTTTTATGAATTTTTTATTCTGAATCCTGAGGCTCAAATTCACCTGCATCTAGAACATTTCCCTTGTACAAAAGCTTCTGTCCTTGTGCCAAATAGCTTATACACTTAATTGGAAAGCAATAGTAGTGTCATGATACAGCCCAGCTTCTAAGCGAAAGAGAGATCAGCAAAAAATGTGAGGCAAATAAGTGTCTGTTACATTGTATTCCCAATGAAGATTACCTAGGCAGCAACTGTATCACTAAGGAAGGCAAAATATCTGAGCAATACAAAGTTGCTCTGGGCAACCCTTTAAGCAATGTTGGGAACAATGTGAGAGCATTGAGGTGGAACTTCAGCAGCGGTGAGACACGGACCCGGAAGAGATTGCAGGGGAATCCAAACTGCGGTAATGCCTGATGAAATCTTTGACACTCATCTTAAATTGAATTTGCAGTACGGACTTTGTTTCCCCCTTTTCAAGTTCCTCCAATCAGTGTTTTTTACTATATTCAGTCATTATTTAAGTTTATTTCATGTTCCAGGCTTGTCCCTGCTTTGATTACAGTGGCAGCCTTTCTACCCCACCACTTGTGTTGGTAACTGGCAAAGCTACTGACCAAGAGCTCAACCTGAGGTTACAAGTATCTTGCATAGTGAAAACCATTCTACATCTTCAATGAGAACAGTATTCTTGTTAAAATATTTTATCAATGATGTGTTTAACTTTACTGTGTTCAAGTATCTTCTGGGGTGTAGATTGCGTTACCACCCCTGCGAACTAAACTTTTTATTCTAAAACTGGAGCATTAACTGCTTAACCACTGCCTCAGAAAATGTATGATAGAGAAATAGAAAACTAAAATACAATCCTAAATCAAGTTCATCTGGGCATGCATCACATTTTGCCTACTATTATATAGCACCGATTTACAGAATTTTTCAGGGGTATAAAGGGACACTTAATGTTGATGTAATGCTGATATGTATATACATAGAAACAAGAAAGAAACTATAATGCTATTTATGTAAATGCAAGGTAAAAGTTTTAAATAATAGATTTTAACTTAAAACTAAGGCTTAATAAGCAAGAAAAATTGTACAGCCTTAATTTTTTGGAAACCCTGTCACTTCATTAGTGATAATCTGAATAACCTTTAAATTTGCATTTCTCTTCTTATTGTTAAGCTGTTTTCCCAACCCTGAGAATGAAATTTTCATAAAGTAAATGTCAGAATGAAAATTAATATGTTTGGAAATTGAAAACCACTGACATCAAGAAGGTATAGATGTTCAATAAAAAAAAGCAGACATAACTTTTATAGAATTCAGCAATGAGGGAGAAGTTTAATCCCACTGAATCATAGAACAGACACACAATATTCATCATGGGAGCTATGTTCCCATTTTTTTAAGGTTAGATAATAACTGTGTCTGTCAAAGCAAATATAAATGGCTTGTTTTATAAAATGCACAATGTTATTCATCCAAAATATGTTTATTAAGATGTTATACTTTTTCAGTATATTTTAACTGTCATTTCAAAAATATTAAGATTATGTAGTTTTATGAAGCATCATTACACCAAGATTTTTATTTTTATGACATTTAATAAAGTACTTTAAAATATATCAATGATAAAATGTGGTTTTAAATAATTTTTTTATATATCAATTTTGCTATGTATCTATCTATATATATATATATATATATATATATATATATATAGGAAGGAAGGGAGGAAGGAAGGGAGGGAGGAAGGGAGGAAGGGAGGGAGGAAGGGAGGAAGGAAGGGAGGACGAAAGGCAGGAAGGAACTGATTGAGGATCTGCAAGAGAAGCAAAATATAAAATATGACAAAATAGAGAAGGTAGGCAAGAGGACAAAAGAAGAGGAAACAGATGGCTACACAAAGAATTAGAGATGCAGGGAAACAAGAGATCAAAAACTGGCTTGTTGTTTCCCTCCCTTAATGAAAGCTGTAGATCCTGTAAATCACAGGATTTCACAACTGATCAAGCTAGATTAGCAACAAATGTTTATAGTTCTAATAGATTCTGAGTATTAGGAAATTACATTTAAAAAATGCCAAAAGAAAAACGTTCAAGGAAAACAAATAAGGTTGTCTCCAATAAGATTTATAACACACTTATGGAAAATCCTTTTTTAGAACAAAATGTAAAACCCTCTTTCAATCTCCAAGGACAAAAAGAAAAAAAGATTTATAACCCCAGGGGATGTAGAGAAGGAGAAAAAAAGGAAGGAGAACAGATACCTCAATACCCTTCCTATTGTGTTTTTATACCCCACCTCCTCTAGACTGTAAGCTCGTTTGAGCAGGGTCCTCAACTACCTATTGTTCCTGTTACATTTTGTTATTGTCTCAATTGGCAAATCCCCCTCTTATTTTAAAGCAGTGCAGAATGAGCTGGCGCAATATAAATACCAATAATAATAGTGATAGAAAATACAGGCATCTTCAATTTAACCCCAGAATACTCACAAAACCACAAATTAGTGCCCACAATAAAGGCTTAAAATATGCCCCAACAACATTGACCTAAACATTTTTAAGATTTAAGACTTTTTTTTTTTTTTTAAATATGAGTCAAATGGATAAATACAAACACAGTAACCTAAAGCCAAAATCTACCCTTTTCCCATCCTGACAAGTATCCACACTAATTAAGATGTTTGAGGAGATGGTTATGAAAGATATAGAAAAAAAGTCAAAGTAAACAATGGCCATTGCAGAGCTGAACTTGAGACTTCGAAGGAACCAGAACAGAATGAAGATATAGTAAATAAAATGGCCAACAAATGTGAGGTGATTGTTATCCTGACAAAATAACATTATATCCAGAGCTCACTAAGATTAGTGGGGTATAAAGATATCTATGAGGCCTTGGATGGAAATCCATTTTAAATCATTAAAACATCTCTAAGGTAGCTATTAGAAGAATGAATAATGAGAATTATTACCATATCATAATATAATTTTAAACTTATTACCCACCCCAAGATTTTTTTTTTGCCCAAGATACATAAGAACATCACCTCACCACCAGACAAACAAATTGTTTCAGAGAATAATTAATTCCCACTCTATAGAACATTTCCTTCAACCATACATCTCTAAAGGGAAATCTGAAAGACACCACAGGCATCATTAATAGCATTAAACATTTGACCTGGCATGATAACCAGTTTATGGTAGTGTTAGATGTTACATCATTATAGACCATTGTAGACCATACAAATGCAGTGGAAAATGCCATTAGTTATGAAGAGGAAATTGAGGATTACCAGCTGAATTTGATAATGAAGTGTATTCATTTTACCATTACCAACAAACAATTTTGGTATGATGGTAGATTTTGTTCTACAGAAGACTGGTAACATAATGGGAACAGAATTTGCCCCAAGCTCTGCTAATCTCTTTATGGGTGATTGGGAGAATAATTATGCTTGGAGTAATCATAATAGAATTACCACATTGCAAATTATAAGAGTTATATTGGATATGTATTCATCATCTGGAGATGTAGCAAGGAGACTTTTGTGACTTTTTAAGTAAGGGGTCCATCTCACAACCACCTAGAGTACAAAGAATGTAGACTTTTTGTATTTAGTAATCTATGCAGAAGAAGAAAAAGTCAAGACAAGAACACATTTTATTTTTAAAGGAAAGTTGCTTTGTTGAGAAAAGTACCCTATAATGAATTCAGAAGACTAAAAATAAATTGAATGGAAATAACTGAATACAAAGAACAAGCACAGGTGATTAAGATTTTTTTGTTGTTGAGAAGAACGACAATTTAGAGGATTTGAATACATGTTGAGAGTAGAAATATTGAAGAGGGAAGATCGTCTACAGGGCAAAAAAAGAATACCCATAGTAGACACAAGGGTACTTCCAATCATCTTACGATAAGTAGAATATTCATATTAAAAAGATAATGAAAAAACATTGGGCTATATTCTAAATAAAGATAAAGTATCAATTCATCTACTGCCAGATAAACCTAAAATCATATTTAGGGGAGCACTGAATATTAGAAAGCGAGTCATGAAAAGTTTTATTAGATTTACCCTCAAACTCCATTTCCTAATTTAAAATGTTTTTTAGGGGGGCGGGGCCTAACCATCATGGCTACCAGATGTGTGTCTCAGGAGCTCCTGCTCACCTCTGATAATACAAGCGACATTAGGCAGCATCTAAAGAGACGAATAGCAGCACCACATACTTCTAAATACCCCACAACAGAGGGCGTGAAGTGGGAGGCTGGGAGACTCGCTGGAGAGCCGTAGACACCGGGACTGTCAGTGCGGCCTAGCACGCGACGGGCGGGGGAGGCGGCCGCTCTCCCGACCCGGAGGAAAACGAATGACACACTCAAGAGCGAGCCCCGTTACCCCCCCTTTGGACCGGTGGGGGAGATCCCGGTCAACACAGCGGAGGCTACCCCAGGCATGCTGACGCAGTGCTGGCTGCCTCGGGGGTAAAGAGAAAGCGCAAGGTCTCATCCAAAATGGCTGAGGCTGCAGAAGCTGGGCACCACAACGAGGCTGTATATGACTTCCAAGCAAGGCTAAATAGGCACTTCGTGAAGCTTTGGAAGGAGCTGAAACGCAGACTATGTCAATCATCCCCCTTACAAGGGGATAACCCCCTAGAGCAGAAGCTACAATTAAACAGCCGACCGGCGACCCAACACCCTGACAGCCAACCGGCACCGCAGAGGAAGAAGAGGTCTCTAGAGACACCAAGGGCCCGACACCGGCAAACAATGCAGTCCAAGCTAAGACCTAACCCACCATCTGGCCACCCTCATACACGGCCTAGACAAGGCATCACAAACAAGCCACTCAGAGGGGGACCCTACGCAGTGAAACAAAGATCGCAGCACAAGCAGCGGCACCCCAATCCGCGCCCACTGGTGGGTCGCTTGAAACCACAACAGAGACTCACCCCCGGGGCGCAACAGCCGGAAGCCGGGTAACGGACCACATCGATATGGTGCACTCTCCCCTCACTTCCTACTGTGGCGGAAAGACACGGCTGCGATGCGGAGGGCACACCATCAGGAGTCAAATACACAACCCTCCGGTTCTAGACCCGATACAGGCCGTGACGAACTTACGCTCAAGACATCTGAGGCCCTGCAACGGCTGCTCCGGATTCCTGAACCCTGCGCCCAGAGGACTGACAAACACCGCTATTTGCCTGCTTATCACTCCAGATCGACCCCACCTGTCGGCTGTTGGAATCAGAGGCTCACTGTGCCCCTCTGAGCTGCGGGACTGTAGAGCCCCCTTGGAAGGCATCGGCTGAATGAACTCTTGGACTGAGCTCTGGGGAATCTACCCTCACCAGCTTCTCCTGCACACAGTGATCGCAGGGAGAGAACAGCAGGTTAACCTTAAAAATCTCCTATCCACTTAAGATTAGTTTATTACCCTGTGGGGACCTTGTGGGGACTATTACCTAACGTTGGTTATTCTGCTGCGCAAGCCTAAGTAAACAAACACATGCAGTCAGCTACTCATTTAAGTTCATCCTGTTTAACGATGCATACCTTGCAGTTTCAGACATATTTAATTTATCTATGGCTTCTCCCTCATGCATAATGCGCAGTTTTGCCCATCTTGCCATAAACCTAAGCCTGTAATAACCAGTCTCATGCAAATCCCCCTATCAATATCAACACATGAAGGCAAGTTACTCTAGTGTAAATTAACCCCCAGTGGTTCATAACTCAATGCCTAGTTAGCTTTTACACAACTTAATACTTATTGTTATATAGCACAGCGAGGCTAATCACTGTAACGAGCAAGACTTGGCTATGAGACCCTTCATTGTTTTTGTTTTTAACTTAAATTACTATTACAGAATATTGTTTATACCTAACATGTTTACACATTGTGCGCCCAAGCATGGTACATCGTTTAGCCTTACTCATACACTCAGTAGATATGCACTCAAATGTCTGCACAGCGTTACTCAGTATTATGTTACCTAAGCTTGTTTCCTACCATGTTAAAACTCAATTATCTTTAAATATAAAATTTGTGCTAGCTATCTCATGTACCTCTCTGTTCAACTGTTTATAATGTGTTGGAGGATTGCCTTTGGGATACCTCACAACCAACTGTTCAAAGCTTATGCACTACAAAAATAAAGAATTATAAAAAAAAAGTTTTTTAATATAAATTATTTTTCAATATAATACATGCCTTGCATGCAGAATTAAAAAAATGAAAACATATGAAGGTATCACAAAGATCGCATTAACATGATGATAAAGAGCTTTCAAAGTGAAAGCATTAAGTACATGCAATAGTAAAAAGTTAAGTTATGTTTTGAAATATGTAATTTTTTTATAAATTCTCTCCTCCTCAAACCCCATTTGAAAAATGGGGTTTACCAGAATCCTCCATATTCTTGAATGAGTAAGTATCAATTTGACATTGGAAATACACAATAGAAGGGAAAAGAGCGCTATGCACAAAATACAACAACTGGTGCAGCTTAAAAACACCTCAGTGTACAATCACTTATTACACCAAATGAAAAATATAGTGAACGGAAAAAAGGTGAAAGCGCACACACAGTGGAATATTTTAAAATATTCCACTGTTTGTGCGCTTTCACCTTTTTTCTGTTCATCAATTCAACATTACTTGCCAAAATTTCAGGTGCATTTCCCATAATATAGAATAGATAAAAACTTCTAGACTGGAAATCACACCCAAAATGCCCCACTAGAGTTAATGCGAGGAAATCTAAACTAAGCAACTATAACAACTTTTTTTCACTGAAAAAACAATAGCTGTCACCTTAAGCTATAAATAGAGAAAATAAAAATAAAAGTGGCTACTGGAAAAAAACAATAGGATGATCAGGAATAAGTGGAAAATTCCTTTATTCCTATTTTTCTATTTCCACTTACTCCTGATCATTCTATTATTTTTTTTCCAGTAGCAACTGATTTGCATTTCCCATAATGCCTGTTTGTGGATTTTTATTGTGTAGTGCTCAAGTTTGGTAAGGTTCAAAAGTAAACTTATTTTCAATATTAATAATCTTTACCTGTTCAGATTCTTGATTTCAGCCCCTTGAATACCTTTGCGATGAAGTATAACGACATTTGAGAGCCAGATGTAATAATACACAATTGAAGCTAACACTCAAATTATGGTCCAAAGTGGAAACCTTTCTCAGGAAAATGAAGGCTGTTATTACACGTAGCTATGTAATACTTAGTCATATAGTTGGGTAGCTACGTTAAGATGAAAGGGGAAATAATAAGTAGTATATTTTGGAATTGTAATCTTTTTTCTACATACTCACCCATTGGCATGCCATAAAAAAAAACAAATAAACAAAAAAAAAGCATTTAAAAAACCACATAAAAAATAAATAAATAACACACACACACACACACACACACACACACACACACACACACACACACACACACACACACACACACACACACACACACACACACACACACACAATTTCACTTTGCATTGTTTGTACTGATTATAAATTATTTTGTTTCAATAGGAACCTTTGTTTTTCCTAAGCTCTTTATCCTGCTAGCTGTTGGGTAACTAACAAGCAGTTATATCATGCCAGAAAATATTTAAGTGGATTTTTAAGCCTATTAACAAGATTTGTGTATTACAAGATGATTATTGATTTTATGAATACACTGATATAGCAAAGTGCTTACATTATTATTATTATTATTATTATACTCTGACACTTTTTGAACAGCATACAGTTTTTTTTACAATTACTTCTAATGTATATAATTATACTCTAATTGGATATTGCTCCATGTAGATACATTTAACTTTAAATAATTTGTGTTGTTAATTAAATGGCATTCTAATACCAAGTGTCTGTTGTCACTTTATAAACTATAAACTATGCACTATATAACAAGAGGATATTTTCTACATCAATATGTGTGTTTTTTTTTTTAACAAATTATATTTTCCATATTCTACATTATTTACAAATGAATTTCATAAACATTGAACCATGGTGCATTGAAAACAAAAGGCTCATTTCGAAAGTTGTTGGTCAGCAGCTTTTTGCAACCTCCTGTTATTTAAATGTGCAAAGGGATTTGGGATAGTGTGCAGGTAACTTTATTTCTATGTATTTTTTTGTTCTATGTATTTTTGGGCTGATGTATACTATAGCAGGAGTAGCGGGAGTGTGGGCCTAATTTTGTATATTTGTAATTGAAATTACCAAACTGCTGACCACTCATACATACTATAGCACAAATATTTGTTTGGTATATGGATATACACTGAAACCTTAAAGGGACTCTCCAGGCAGCCCTTTTTACTCACCTCGTTCCAGCGCCGGGAGCCTCGTGAAGCTGCGACCCCTATTTCGTCAAAATGACGAAATAGGCGGGCGCGAGCAGGGAGCAATCAGACGCTTCCATTCGGATGCTTCATTGGTCACTTATGCACATGCACGGCTTCGCCGCACATGCGCACATACTTCATAGGGCGGCATGCATGCCGCCCTGTGAAGTCCTGAGCGCACTACCGCGCATGCACGAAGTGTGCGCAGCAGCGAGCTGAGCTGACTGACAGCTCAGCTTGCGGTCTTTGCCTGCCCCCTCTCCTCTACTGACAGGCAGGAGAGAGAAGGCGCGCACACAGTGCCTTCTCTCTCCTGCACACGTCAAATGTATTTTAATACGTCTGACGTGTACATGGCCTTTTTAGGGCCATACATGATAGGAAGTCCCTCTGGTGGCCGTCTGAGTGACGGCCACTGGAGGTATTCCTATCAATCAATGTAAACACTGTATTTTCTCTGAAAATACAGTGTTTACATTAGATAGCCTGCAGGGAGTTATAGATCTCACCTAAACAACTACATTAAGCTGTAGTTGTTCAGGTGACTATAGTGTCCCTTTAAATAAACCTATATCATATCAAACCATATTAAACAGCAATAAGAAAGGAAAAGGTCATACATGTGAGTTAAAATATAATATGAGTCTTCATGGTGGGATGATTCTGACGCCTTTGGATTTTTTGGGACACATTAGTTGGGAGGTATGAGAGACTGATGATTGTGCCCTTGTTATACTTACTAGAGCCTCTTTATCCAGGAGGGAACTTGTAGGCCAATTCAGATTTTCCTTGTTGTACAGGTTCATAAAACGATCCTGGCAATTTTTCCTGCTCTTCCTCTTTTCCACTATTAAATCATATGATATGTAATTTTTTAAAAAAATTTTAGTTAATATTTTATATTACTTGCTTTTGTAGATCACAGCACACTCTGCTGCAGTCTCTATTGTCCCTCTAAACAGGGCTAGGTTAACATAGGGGCTGATGGCCCATTGGTTTTCACATGCTCTTGCTTAAGTATGGAAATGAAAGAGGGATGTAGGGACTGGCTGACAATTAAATTAGCAAAGGTAGAGATGACTTTGCGTAGTATGCAAATGCTCTTGCTGCTTCAGTATCTCTAACACTGTGGCATGTTCCTTTTCTTCTACACTCACTACATACACGTTTTCTCTGTCACAGACTGTATAACAGGAACTTCTGCCTGCTAGTAGGAAGGTTAGGAGGGAGTGGACCAGCGAGTGTTGGGGACAGTCCTAAGAAAGCACAGAACTAGCTCATCATCAGATCAGCTCAGGGTGCTGTCTGCAAAGTATGCCCTTGGTTAATCCTGCCAATCCTACATGATTGGCAGGCAGTCTGACATGCATTCTTACCAGGATGACCATTTAATTCTTTGTGAAGACATACCCCCTTTTTGTGCATGTTTTTTGCTTTGGGCGTTTCCTCGATTCACAACAGTGGCCCACCCTTTTACACCGCCCACCGAAATCCTGCTTCACCGGACATTGCTGTTATGGGGTATGGATTTACTTGAAAGATGTAAGCGAGAGATTAGCATAGGGTATGTGTTTTCTCATACCTATATCCTGTGAGTTTCCCTCCAGCACCACTTCCACCAGATTCATGGCGCTTGAGAGGTATAACTGTTTTAGCCTGCTTGGCTCAAGCTTGGGAATGCTTCCGCAAAAACAGTGCATCTAGCCCATAATGCAGATACTAACTCTGACTTTATTTCCAGTGAATTGACATCAGATCCGAGGAACATTTCACATTCTATTCTTATGTTCCTCTAGCAAAATAAATGCTTTATGGTTAAACATGATCCACTTCAGTCTTTTTTCAAGCGAGATTCCTATGTAAATATGTATAGTAAGAGATGCCCTCCCAAGAGTAAT